CAGGGAAACTTGTGACATGAGTATAACGTGTTGGGAGATGAATTTATGTACCAAAATAAAGGACATACTGATTTCGGAAAGTTTTGATAATAACAACAACAAAAAAATAATAAATTAATATTTCAAAGCAGTAAAACAACAAACAACGTAACCAGGAGCCTGAACAATTTTAAAAGATTCGGATATTTTTCAAAACAGTTTTTTAAAGGCAGAACTAACAACCCTCCAGGAGCCGCTCCGGCGCTCAGCGCGGGGCCGTCGGCCCTCAGGAGCGGAGAGGACGCGCCCGCCGCTCCGCAGCCCCGCGCGGGAACGAGCCACCGGGCCGGGCGGCCCGATCCGCGGGAACCGCTACACCCTCCGCCCGCCGCAGCGGGGGCTGCGCGGGGGCTGCGCGGGGGCTGCGCGGGGGCTGCGCGGGGGCTGCGCGCCCCCCGCCGGGGCTCCCCCCCCAACCCCCCCCGGCGGCGGCGCGGGCGGGCAGCGCCCCCTGGCGGCCGCGCGCCCCGGCGCCTCACCCGGCGCCAAACCCGACCTTTTAGGAAAAGCCAGTTCCAGCTATTTTAAATTTCACCCCCCGCGGCTGGGCTGACTCAGGCTTGCAAACTTTTCTTCGTCAACACCGTAAAACCATGGGGATGAAGCGAAACAGAACCGAGCTTTTCACTTAGTGGGAAACAAACACAAAATTGTAAGGAATAAAACATTCAATTTCTCAAATATTCCACTAAACATGCAATCCCATCACGCCTTTAAGCTTGAAAGCATGACTTGGTATTTAACACGCTTTCTAGGGCACAGAGTTCTGTAACACAACAATTAATAAAAGCTACGATTTTGAAACACTCAAGTGTGGGCAGCAGGGCCAGGGAGGGGATTCTCCCCCTCTGCTCCGCTCTGGGGAGACCCCCCTGCAGTGCTGGGGCCAGCTCGGGGGCCCCCAACAGCAGAAGGACACGGAGCTGCTCGAGCGGGGCCAGAGGAGGCCACGAAGATGCTGGGGGGGCTGGAGCAGCTCCCCTGGGAGGCCGGGCTGAGAGAGTTGGGGGGTTCAGCCTGGAGAAGAGAAGGCTCCGGGGAGACCTTCGAGCGGCATCCCAGGGCTTAAAGGGGGGACAGGAGAGGTGGGGAGGGACTCTGCATCAGGGGTGTGGGGATAGGAAAAGGGGTAACAATTTTAAACTGAAAGAGGGCAGATTTAGATTAGACGTAAAGAAGAAATTGTTCCCTGTGCGGGGGGTGAGGCGCTGGCCCAGGGTGCCCAGAGCAGCTGTGGCTGCCCCCTCCCTGGAAGGGTTCAAGGCCAGGTTGGACGGGGCTGGGAGCACCCTGGGCTGGGGGAAGGGGGCCCTGCCCGGGGCAGGGGGGTGGGACTGGGGGGGCTTTAAGGTCCCTTCCAACCAAACCATTGTATAACTCTATGATTCTTTCTTAAACCCATTCTCTGAGGTCGTTTATTTGGTTAGATTCCTTTTGAGTTTGATACATTTCTAGAATGTCTGACAAAATATGGAAACCTTCTGAGATAGGTTACATGCATTCCAGAAAAATTTTCACTAAAATCAAAAGTAACTATTCTTGGGAATACTGTAAAAGTGCAAACTCTTCATTTATGCAACTTTAATATGGTGGAAATAAAGAAGTGCAAGATATTAAATTTGTTTTAAAGCTTAGGAAGCAATTTAAAATGAAATAACATACATATTATTAATAACTGCAGTGAAGAGTGTGTAATTACATGCTAATTAAATTCTCTCCTTATTACATCTGCAATGCCTCAAAATGATGTTTTCTCTCTATGTATTCTCCTTCTAGCAAAAATTCCTGAAAAAAAAAAAAAAAGAAGTAAAGTAGAAGCTGTTAAATATTTCACAACTGGAAAAAGGGAAGAGAATGAAGCTACAGTGATTTTTTTTTTTTAATTATGATTTCTATTCAGAAATAAACTGAACTTCAACATGTTTTAATTACAGATCCTTCTGTTTATAATCTTCTACTTAAGTCTAAACTAAATAACACCACTGGCAGAACACAGTAAACTTGAGGAACTGGGATGAACTATTTCCAGGTAAATGTTAACAGAACCATTTTCCTTTATACAAAAATAATTACTTTCAGGCAGGGAGCCAGTCTTCCGTGTGTGCCATCTCCTACTGTCCAATTTCTGTAAAATTCAACATCACCTTTTCTTATCTGGCTATTTAGGACTTCTTAATTTTTCTGTTCTCAACGTATAAGCTACTTCTTGCATTTGCAGCTTTTAATTTATCTCTGCCTCTAAAGAAAATCAGAAGAAAAAAGTGGTTATGATGGAGCTATCTGAGGCTGCACATTGTCTTTGTGGTTTTGACACACTGTAGTGCTGTAAGACAGACATTATCCTACACACCTTCCTGTTTTGCAGACACAACGGTGTTTCAGCCTGTACTTATGTGATAACACTTTATCATATTACTGTGCACAATTCCGATGTATGGTATGGCTGCCATGAACAGGAAGAGATCTGGGAGAGCCATTTCTCATGTAACCTTGTCTTGGGAGATAGGCTAATTGGCCTGTATTCTCAGAGAGCCTTTACCAATAAACACCAAATCAGAAAAATTGCTTTGGGATTTGGTTGTTGCCACTGTTTTCCTTTGCTGCAGATGTTTGTTCTCTAGTGGAATACATTTTATTGAAACATTGCTGGAATTAGAAAGCATTACTGAAAATGAACAATAAAAAATCATATTTCTGTGATGTTGCTTGTCTTTCTTAATTACGAACACAATTATGAATGTGTACCTCACTCTGGAAATCCAGACTGCTGTAGACATTGAGTGTTTAACTTACAATGGAACATTTGTGGAGAAGGTACAAGGGCTGTGACATTATTTCAGTGAAATCTTTGGCAGTGATAATGTGTAGCAGTCTTTAATTCTATAGCATTTGGAAATGTGGGATCACTGGAAAACAGGCTACAAATATGGGGATTTTATGGGGAATTTATGTTTATTTCTCTATATCTGCATTCATAACAGCAAAAATACATGAGAAACAGGAGGAGTACAATGACAGACTTTTGAAGAGCCACAAAGTTTTGTTCAAACAACTGAAACAGGCTCAAAGGTGCTTTACAGACTCCACATAAATGGTTCCAAAATTGAGAGTTACATTCTTAATGGACTTCATGTCCATTTGATAAAGTGAATGGATTTGACCCAGAAAAGCTTGCAGTAACTTGCCATTTTAGGAACTTTTTGGCTTGCCAGTTCAAGAAATCCCTACCACTGCTATACTGCAACCTATCAATGGATAACCACAGCTAAAATGTTTTCAAAGTTCTCAGTAGCTCAGATTAGCATCAAAAAGCTGGAATTTCTATCTCAGCTTTGAATCTCTGGAAGTGGACTTCGCCATATCCAATCCATCCTCAAGTATGTCCCTATCCCTTTACATTATAAGTATGCTTAGTTGCTTTGCTGTGGAACACCGATCCCCCAGGCTAATCCTCGCCCAGCCACCCCAGCTGCCTTTTCTTCTCCAGTTTTTACATCCCTCTGTCTCTGATTCTGCCCTCAGTGAAAATCAGCTGCCACCATACTTCATTATGGCCGCTGCTGTGATCACAGAGTGTCAGCACTGTGGTTTCAGACTAGAAGTTATTTTCTAGACTCAACTAGAGCAACAGCTGCCTTATGTTCCCTGGAGACATAATGCATATTGGGAAATTGCAGTTCACACATAACAACAAAATGGTATGAGTCTGACCATGTATCAAGTAAAAATCTAATGATAAAATTACCTCAGAGGTCAAGAAACTGAGAAATCAGGTGAAAAAGATACACCAGTGGAAGAATTTTAAAAACTAAGACGAAATTATTTTCTGTGTATATAACCAAGGTCGCAAAAGAAGGAGAAAAAAAACCATTTTTCCTATCTGTGCAGATTTTGTAAAGGAAAAAAGTTCTTAGCACTGATGCTAATGAAATCACGGTCAAGTGAAAATCAGACATTTCATATTTTCTGTAGGTAGGGACAACATAGGCCAGGTTCCCTCCTGTTTCTAAAGACGTGTTAAAATGGAATATGAAATTGGATAGATCTAATGATGGTATTATTATTCTAATTTATGTTCCTCATTCATACATAATTAATGTAAAGCAATTTCTCAATATCACACTATTTTCAGATAATATTAGATATTTAATAAACTGCTGCTTGGCCAACAGCATCCAATGTGCTGTATCTAAAGTTTAAAGTGCCTAATGCCACTTGGTTGTTGCAAATAAGACCGAATCCCACCAGTCCTTTGGTGGAACTGAGTTCTAGCTGTTTGCTTTCAATAATTTCATATGCTTGAGGGAGAAGTTCACAAAATAACAATGATCTACTCTGCTGGCTTTCCACATGTTTCAGTTTATAGACCTCCCTGTAGAGAAGCAGATCACCCTACAACAAATTTAAATCCACTGACAATAGCATCCTTCCCTTTCAAAAACCCCATAGAAAGAACTGACGGACCCTGAGCTCAATCTGCAGGCCACATACTGAAGCCTGATCTATGCCATTAAGGCTGCTCTTGTATAGTTATGCACCTCCCAAATGAAGTCTAAAATTGGCATAAATGTGTTATTTCTTATACAGATCGAAGGATGCGTAACATAGATGCATCTAACAATCTATATTAAGCACACATTGCATATGCTCCATCACAACAGCTGATCCTGAACCCCTGAAAAGGGATTTTATCACTGACATCACCGAGAGCAGGATTTGGCCCATGTTTCTTAACACATAGTAATGCTGAAGATATATGTTGTTATATTACTGAATATTTTTTATCTTATCACATGTAAGCTGACTAAACTAGGAGTTATTTATAGAGTCTAATTCACATTTTTACAGCATATGGATGTGCTTTTTGCCAGCTTTAGCACGAATACGGTTTATATTCATTAAGGCTGAGCTAGCTAATTAACCATAGACAGAATTAGTGAATAGCTTTCTAGTAAGAGTACCTCAAGGTTGCCAGTAATTTCATTTGGGATTTCACTCACTGGAGGCTTCTGATCTTCAGCAGTGACACCAGGCACAGCATCTGCCTTGAAGGACTCTGCCTCTGGACAGGGCTCTTCCAGGTAACCCTCTTGATCAGACTCCTAGCAGCAACCGACCACAGCAAATGTGTGAGTTAGAACATCCTCCTGCTCTCTACAGGACCAAACAGCATCAGCCCGCAGACAGGCGGCAATACACGGGGCCCACTTTTGAGAACTCCTGCTCTGACAGAGACCGTCAGTGTCTGTCTGTCACTGCCCAGGCCTGGCAGATCCCGGGGTTATGAAGTTGCATGGGGTGAGAGCCCAGAGGTGCTGACTCAAATAAATGTCCTCTGCTGACTGATTAATGCATTAAAAGTAATTTAATTCAACCTTAGAAGAGAATGCATGCTGTATTCTGGAGAATAAATGTCATTAGTGGCTGGGATCCCACGGGAATAAACGAGGTAGGAGACTCATGGAGAAATAGCTTTCTTTAAAAAGGAAGGAAAATAATTCCATACCTTTGATTCTGTCTCTGCAGCTGTTGGTGATATTATGAATGACGAACAGATATCCAAAGGTATGCCTTCTTCTAGCAGAGCAGGGAAGGGGGAAGCTGCAGGTTGGGCAAGTTCAATCACATTCTGGCAGTTTTAAAAAAAAAAAAAAAAAAGAAAAAAGGAAAAAAAAAAGTTATTCTGGTTTAATTATTGCTCAGAGGTTTATTGCAGATTTTTTTAAATGGAAATGAAATGGCTGGCAAACAACAAAAAATAATACCTTTTTTGTTACTATCCAGGTGCTCAGAACTGGAAAGCATACTGAAAATTATTATAGATCAGCTTTAATTTCTAGCTGCATCTCAAGAGGCCCTCTTTATAATACTTGGAAAGAACAGATGATTTTCATAATTTCATAACACTACAGCTTCTTACTCATGTGGATAATTAAGTTTAGAAAACACAGTGCTTAGGTAACATGCAGTCTTCCCAATGCACATTTGTCACTTCTGAACAGGGATCTTGTTGCATTTGGAAACTGAAGGGCCCAGCTGACCACTAAGCTGTTCTATCCAAGGAGTCAGCTGGAGTAAAGTTGTAGTGACACTGCATCAAATAATGCCCTAAGAAAAATATTTTAGTGCGTGACTATAATTTAAGAGTTGTAACAGTCCAAGTTTTGCCGCTTCATCATCTTGCTCCTATTTCACTTCCCTGTGAGCATGGGAACCTCACTGGTACTCTGCTGGTGTGTGAACTGCGGCTCCAGGAACGCTCTGACAAGGAAATGCCTTCTACCCCGTGGAGCAGCTGGGTGCAGCACTTAGCCCGTGCTCTTGCTCGGCCAGTGAGGCAGAAGGTGGCCCTGCGTCCTCTAAAGGGACAAGGTTTTCTGTCGTTTGTTTTTTTTTTTTTTTAAAAATGGATGACAGAGAACATACATACCAAACAGGGTGACATAAAGCATTTTTGAACAAGCAAGGAACAGGGTATGATACTAAAATGGTATGTCTGGGGCCTCTACAATGGGAAGTGCCCACTGAGAATACCAGGCAGATGTTCAAGTTCTGAGTCAGCTATTATAAACATGATTTTGCTTGGATGGTATAAGTCAACTACATTAATTCACATCAGGGTAATTGCAGCTCCCATAAATTAATTTCCTCATACCTTTGAAATCATAGCTAGGTTGAGATTTGGTTTATTTAGTTAGTTGCTACTGTTAAACATGCTGAAAATATTAAAGGTTCTATACATTTGCAAAAGCGATAGCAAAAATTGAAAATAAACAGCAAGACCTGGCCATTGTATTTTATCGCATTAAAAATCTCTTTCGTAGCCCTAAGAGCTTTCCAGAAGTTATGCTCGGACTCTGTCATTATCTTCAAAGATTCCCTGTCATGTGTAAGCTCACTAAAAAAGGTAGACAATATTAGCCCATGATTATAAGAACCTAAAAGGCTGACAGAGTTCCAGAATTTAAGTAAGAAGAAGACTGGATTTTATAGAAGCATTTTCCTGTATCACTTGTGACTCAAATTTTACAGCACTGTGTTAGTGCCTACAGGCTCACAAAGGGAATAGTCAGAAAGTTTAGTTTTTGCATCAAAATGAAAAAGCCTTACATTGAGCTAAACGCTATTCTTTCTAAAATAAAAAGAATCTTTGTTTTCAAATTCAAATTTCTGTTTAAACTAGAGCTCTTTTGATTTAGCAAATATTTCCATTTTCTCTGATTTCTTACCTTATATTTTCTTATTAAAAAATATTAGCTGAATTGGATGAGAATTTACAATTACTTCCTGCTTCCTTAAAACAACATTTCTTGGTTAGTTAGTTAACTATTCACTCAAAATATTTTCTTTATTGAGATTAAATCATTATTACATTTATTCCCTCCAGTCAAAATTTCAGAAAATGAAATAATGTAAAAAACTAGACCAGGTTTTAAAAATCAATTCCTGGCTGATCAAATACATTTCTGTAGCAAGGATAAGATTTTCAGAGGTTCTGTTTTAGAATAATATTTTTACTTCACTGAGTCCTTTTAAAGAGAGCCATTCTTTACTCATCTGTTCCGTGTCTAATAATAACATTTGGATCATTAAGAAATAACTAAATTACAGCAGAACTAGTCTCTTTAATGAACCATAATAGTCCCAACATTCAGCCAAAAGGGTTTTTTTAAAAGACTATGAAACTTCAATGTAGAATATGAAGTATTTTGTTTAGTAATAATAAGTTTATGAGTAGTACTACAGTTTACAGCCAAAATATAGTGACCTAAAAATGCCATTCTCCATTGCTCCCTCCTATACATTGTGTCCTTAACAAGTCCAGGGGAAAATTAGAACGAATGAATTGTGGTGAGAGCCCGAAGCCAACAAACGTATTTAAATGAATCCTTCTGATGCAATACTTTCCTTTAAAAAATACAATTAAGTCTTTGTATTTCCTTTGAACAAAACCTCATGTTTAATAGCACCAATGGCTCTGTAGTAAAATCTATTTAAAAACAGAGAAGGAGACACGGTAAGTTTTATACAGTTACAGTGTCTTTAAAAATGTTGCTAGTTTCTGAAGTCTGAGTAAATTTATGGTGAATTACTTCCACTGACCTACATTAAAAAATTCATCCTCCTTTTTTTAATTCCTGAAGATTTGTCATTATGTGAGCATTATTCACTATGACAAAGATGTATTACTCAAAGTGTCCTCTTGAATCAATATAACTATCGAAATGTGAGAAAGTTTGGCAAGATGATAATGTCTTAAAATTAATTGGCAATATTTTCCTGCACATTGCGGTCCAATGGGTCCATGAGAATTCAAACATAAAGAAATCATAAGGCAGTTGCACAAATGTAGATGGCATATCAGTGTCAGCTGCAGATAAAAGGATGCTCCGAAAGAGACTGGAGGGAGCAGAAGTTAAATGCAATATTCTTATTAATTCCTAGGTGTGGTGGGGTGCCAAAAGGCCACTTAAATCTGGACAGGTTAGAACAGGCTAGAGGCTGCTCTAACATTCAGCAGAGGTTAACGTGGGAAATATCATTCAGCATCACCTTGACTCTCCCACCCCAGTTGCATCAAGCCTCAGCGTAGTCACAGCTGAGGACCGCAGCTGGTGTTCAAATATTGCTCTCAGTGTACAACCCCACGCCACAGTCTTTCTCTGGAATTCTTTCTAGTAAAAGTGTGCATAAAGAAAGCTAGGTATGAAAAGCATCACGTTGCTCTGTACATAAACCCACATACTTTTCTTGCTGCTGAGAGCTAGCAAATTACCTTTCTACAAATGTAGGCAGAGTAAAGACAATAAAATAGTATACAGGAAAATTTCTAAAACAGAATAATGGCAGGAAAGAAGATTGGTAAAACGTTCTAATAAATGAGTTCCACAGATGTGGTAGTTATTATAAAATTAGCTTTGCATAACTTACCAATATACCATTACATTTTCCCCCAGATGTTATCTGTTACTTAAATTAATTTTGCTTAAGTTACTATTATTGCAGATTTTATCCACACTGTATTTTATTATTTAAGTGTCTGTGGCATAAAACAAGCCCTGGCTGATAGCATTACTTTTAATAATATATGTAAGAGGTTTTAGTATTATACAAATGGCTGCTGGGTATATCTTAATAGTCATAGCACAGAACGTCTGCTCTCAAAATATTATGTAGATTAAAACCAGCTATTTACTTACACTCTAATTCAAGTCATTGGAAAGGTTTGCAGTATTTATGCATGTGGTATGAAGGGAAACAATCTACTCTGGGAATAAATATCAGAGTTTGGAAATTAGCAAAGCTAAGGTCAAGGTCAGTTTGGATTTACTAACATACTTGCTGAAAATTAGAATTTACAGTTTGTGATTGCTTATTTCATAAATGAGAAAAGAACTGAGGGCGTGGTGTATTTGACTCCGATACAAGGCTTTTGTATCATAGAAATATTTCAAACCCACCTTTTTTAGTTCAATAGTATCTGAAATTCTGTACTCCTCTCCACAGAGTCTTAACGTAAATTCTCTGTAGCTAATCTTACCAAACATCGGAAAATAATTATTTATAAGGATTGGAAAAAATATCCCACATTCAGCATGGAGCATTTCTAAAGCCTTGTAACATCATGGATATGGATTTGGTTTTACATGAATGACAGATGCATTTTAAAAAGGGTATTCTTTGTGTGTTATTCTCGATAATCATATCATCTGTGTAGTTTCTAATTGTATACCATAGGACCTTATGCTACCAGAGAGTTACACAGACTTCTCTCATATATGTATTTTTATATATACATATATACATGTGAGATTTGCTATGAAACAAAATATTTAATACAGGATTTACATTAGTTTGCCATTCATGCTAAACATGCCCAGCTGCACACCTACAAATGTGCTGAATTTCAGTTGCTGGAATAAAAGGCATTTACAAGATATGGTTTGTTAGCTGCCTGTATTTCATGTGGTTGAATCTGAATGAATAACTAATGGACAGAGATGCACTGACTCAAACCAGCTGCCTTTTTGCCTTTTTTTTTTTCCCCCCTCTTTAACCTGCCAGCATATGCAAACACAACAAATCCACCCTACCTGCCTTCTGAGGCATCGCCCACCAGCGTTCCCACAGGAGGTTTCTGGGAGGCTGCTGATAGCTCTACAAATCCATTTGCCATCCTATTTTGCAGCAATGCTAAACACAAGGTCCAAAGGACCAAAGGATAATACAAACCGCTCAAAAACTTAATCCAGATATATGACCTGTGCAGTGTGACTAAGATGGCAGAGCTTCCTGCTGAACACCTTCACTGTACACATTTCTATTAATATTTAAAGTAGAATTAAGGTCAATGAGGGACTAAACTTGGCCTCTGAAGTATGTTCCCCAGTTGCTAATGATGCACATGGAAATTCTGTGTGTATGTTCCCGGGCAGGAGTTTTCAAACCACTATTCCTTAAATGAGACAGACGTTCAGTAAGTATACTTTATGCTCTTTTCCCTGCATTTCAGAATTCAAGTTAATATGTTTTAAAGAGAGTTTTCCATGTTTCTGAGCTGAGATGGGAATCAACTTTGTTGACAATACATCGGTAATTAATCTAGTCCAAAATAGCTGTCTGAAGCAA